TGGAAATAAAAATATGCCATGGGATAATAAATCAGGACACTTTCTTGTGTACCAAACATAGAACCTGATAAGTGCACGAAACTAAAATCCTTACATAGTTGCTTTTGCGAGATACAATATAATAGGTGAGATTATGAATCACAAACGTCATACATTTCGCAAAACCGAATAAAATAACACTGGAAAATGAACAGTGAATGAAATTTTTGTGATAAGGTAATGGATGATGGATAGATAAGACTCAAATAATCTATATACTATTCTAAAATAAAAATGAAAAATATGATTAAAAAACTATCGGTATTTACTGAGTAGCCTAAGTGTGCACAAACCCTAAACTTATATATATATATACATATGGATACTCTATAAAACCTAATTAGAAACGAAGAATAATTTGATGTTATCTTAAATTCAAGATGTCAAGGATTTACGGACGCAATAGGGAACTAGGACAAATAAGGCGTATACCACGGCTACTGTATCTGAGCCAAATTAGTATAGCCTTATTTTCTTCGATTTATGTCTCATAGTGAAAGTAAATGTGGTAGGAATAAACAAAGTGAATAAATCTTGACATTTTATGGATTTAAAAAGAGTCGCTTTAACTATTAGACACTCTTAAATGAGTAACTAGTAATGTTTCTCATACTTCATTTCCAAATAACTAGAGAACACAGAGTAAACTGCAAACCCAGTTTTTTGCCAAAACTATTTGGCGTAATAATTAAATAAGTTAAAAGTACTCTAGGTCTGATTTGTACTTTCACTCAAAGTGACCGAAGCAAAGATTTAAACCACGACCTTTTAGGTTATTTATCGTCCGTCAAAATAAACCTAAGAAGAACAGTATAAGTAGCTCCTTAAAAAATGTGGTTGCTGTACTAAGACCAGTTCAAATTGTAAAAAACCTTATATTAATACATTTTAAAACAACCAGCCACAAGCATATACTTGCAAATGACTCGACATATTTGTAAGATATTTGCGCATGAAACTGGCCGCGACAGGTGCTGAATCTCACAAGAGGCTTCCGTAATTAGCTATATACTTACTTTCTTCCTCTTCCCTAAGAAGGATATTCGTAAATCGATTGGGGCTCTTAACGCCTGGGTGGAAGCGCTCTGCCAGTAGAAGGTGAGTAAATGCCTCTTCTGTAACACCTGGAGAAAGAATATCGCTTTCACTGACAATTTTTGCAATGCCCTCCATCACGCCATATGTAGAATCAACATAAGAATCGAGGATTATGAGATCTGTGAAGAATATAAGAATAAAATGAAACAAAAGAGTGTGAATTAATATAGCGGCAATAGCTGAAGCTTCAAAATGATTTACCTAAAGATGTAATCGACGAGTTGATAATAGAATAATGTCAATAAGAATCTCATCAAACTAACTTTCAAAATGAAAGTATTTCAGTCCACTATTTGTAGGTAACCTTGCCTTTATAGAGATCGATCAACATAAAAATATTGTTAGAAATATAACCAGATAGAGCTTAATAGTGTAAAATAGATACAAAACATCTTACAAGAGAAAATAAGAGTAAAAACTAATTATACTTTTGCAGATTGATGTCTTATGGACTGATTGAAAAAGTAATATCATAAGTTTATTTTAATGAATTTTTTACGCACATTATAAGGCCAAAAATATTAAAGCTTTGCAAAAGGAGTTTCTTTGTAATAATTTCAAAAATAGAAGTTGATTGACCTTGTTTTCGTAACTTGGACAACTTGGTAAGAAGATCTAGAGGAGCTCACCAAGTCCGGAGTCAATAGTATGCATGATAATTTCCAGAGTGGGACCGTGGACGTGGTACATTCCAAGACGTTTCGCCGACATCGTAGTCGGCATTGTCATTGAGTGTTGCCAGCCTTAGCACCACACTAAAACTCGTTAAGGAAACAAGTGAAGCCGATCCTTTGACTAATTGTCGGCTAAACAATTGTGGTATTTCTGCTTCTCCCTTGGGCCAATCACCAACCCTATATCTACTTACTTATTTAAATGTGGTATGGTGTGCCCTTCTGAGCGGCTTTCATAAGAATGCTCCACACTCCACGCTGGTTTTCTCACCCCCTCACACTTTACCTTTGTGCTGGGAATGTTTAGCCGTATTTGCCATATTGTTCTGGAGTCCTCATCCTATATGGCTTATTAGAGTCTCCTTCTTACACTGCAGGATCCGTCTGCTGTTTCCCTGGTTCAAGTATTTCACTCGACCCCTGCCATCCTATCTGTGCCACTCGATGCGTTATTTGCCACACTCTGCTTCTGGAAGAATAACTTGAGGCCAAAGACGCCTAGTGATTCTCATGGTCAAGCCTTTGCTTCATTAACCACGTTTATGATCAAATAGTTGTACTGTTATGAAGAAAACTGGGTTTGGAAAGTTCCTTAATGAAATATTGTGGAAGGACTCTCCCTTTCGAAAGGAAAGTTGATTGGAAGGAATTCGTGATATGGTCTCACCGGAAACCGAAGAAGGATTGTCGCGTAAGAACGACTTTTGAATTGTGCGAAGGAGTCCTCGGCTCACCGTCCTGTGACTCCGATGAAACTGAGCTAAGTTTTTGTCTGTACTGTAACACACATCATCAGAGCAATATTCCATACTTTACGAAATATAGCAAAAATATACTAGACTAAGAGAAAAGGGTGGCTGACCGCAAGCCCAGTCGCTTTTTTCTAAATTTTTCGTATATAAGTAAAGTTTCGAGACTACTAGTAAATCAGTTAAATGAGAAGTATTCACCCTATTTCCTTTAATGTGATGTAGGACTGGCATTTTTTATACACCTAAAATCGCGATCTTAATAAGGCCTTAACTGATTTGGTTGGCTACTTCAACCTTACTCTACATGCTTGCAAATGAGTAAAGTTAACTTCCCGAACAGGAAATACGTTCGCTGGCAGCTGTTTCATTACACAAAAACTAGTGCACGATCGCCTAATGCTGAATCATGTTTGGGATTCTGCTATTGTCTATTGTTTATATAATGTTCATATCATGGGTAGTATGATACTCCCAGCTATACACGAAACTAATCCAGCCTCATTTTCTTGCACAGTGGCTCTTTCTGCACTCCCTCTTTCTTACTTTCCTTAAGTCCATCCGACAGCCATGAAAAGTTCATACTTAGTTTTCTAAACTCGTTCCTCCTATTCAGGACGACAACTTTCTTCTCTTGGTTTAGTATATTTTTACTCTATTTCGTATATTATGGAAGCTTTCTCTGATGATGTCTTTCACAGTTCAGACGAAGGCTTAGGACTGTGAGCCGAGGAATTCTTCGCAAAATTCAACAGTCTACCTTACGCAACAATCCTCCTTCGGTTTCCGGTGAGACCACATTACGAATTTCCTCCAACCAGCTTTCCCTTCAAAATGGGGAGTTATGCCACAATTCTACTGCTAGCCAACTAGCTATAGTCTCCACCGCATCTATCCTGTTTCTATCCCTAATACCATTCCTATGAATTCCTATGCTCTAGCCTCTTGTGTGCCAACCCACAAATGTTGTGGTTCTATTGTTTCGATTAGGTTCAATGTAGAACCACAACATTTGTGGGTTGGCACACAAGAGACTAGAGCATAGGAATTCATAGACTTGCTATTATGGATAGGAACAGGATAGATGCAGTGGAGACTATAGCTAGTTGGTTAACAATAGACGTGCTTCATGGACCACGTCTATGATCAAGCACGTCTGGGAATGTACCAGGTCCATGGCCCGACTCTGGAAATTATTCTGCATACTAAGGACTCCGGACAAGGTGCATTCCTCTAGGTCTTCCTATCAATTCGACCAAGTTACGAAAACAAGGCTAAACAATTTCTATACAACGAAAGGAGTTTGCGACCATACAAAAGGCCATACCATCTTCGTCATTATACCTTTGATTAACCTCAAAAATAGTTAAAGCATAAATCCCTCCTGTTGAGGTTTAAAAATATATCAAAGCCTAATTTTTTTTAAGTTTATATAGTGACTAACTTAAGTATGCAAATAAGTAAATAAGCACTTTATATTAAAATCGTTATACCATGCTTACTTTCAGGGGCGATTGAGAGTAATAAAATACCTTCGTTTGATTAGCTTATATCTAAAAGTAGCTGGTTTTCGATTAAGCTACTGGCTTACCAGTTTTTAATTGACTTTCATTTGGTGTAAAAGTGTGATGAGGAAATTTGTAGGTGGATCTCATCATAAGGAGAAGGTAGATTCGCTTTTATGTGCTTTTTGGTTTCCCCTGGAAGCCCATAATGATGAAGTCCTAAAGAACCTCCTTTAGTTCCGATGAAAATGTGATGGCAGCCTCATGTCATATGGCAGGCAGCGCAATATCTAGAAGCCATTTTTACTAGGATTCAATATATTTAACCTATTTACCTCTTTTTATATATTTGGTTATTTATTTATTAACTAAAACCATTTTTGGAGGTAAGGAATGATTTGGTTAAGTAACCTCTTCTAACAAAAGCAACCTTGAAATCTAAGGCTCTGGTAGGACTATTCATTTGGAAAGTTACCCCTATTTAATCTAATATTAATTAACGGTCGTAAATCATATACAACTTTTATAAAAAGTTCAAGGCGTGTGCGAGTATTTTAGCAGTAAAGGATGCGTTGAGATACCTATAATGGCTCAACAATCATAATTCTAGTGTAGATATAAGATGACTTTAACAGGTATCTGAACGGTAATGATCATAAGTTTGACGTGATCCAAATCAAATTATGGAATAGCACCTAATTAGAGAAAGAAGCCTACTCAGATAACAGATTATGGACCAGATTTTGAACCAGATTTTGGAAGATAGGCAACTGAAAAATTAGAAGACTTAACAAAATAATAAAATCCGCGTGAACAAAGATATATATAATTGATTTGTGATATAAATTAAATATTCTGTTATGTTCTAAATTATTTTAAGACTAATTGAGCAGATAAATATATGTTTATACGAAAGATAGAAATGCACTCGAATGTATCATTTATTGAGACTAGTTAGCTTCATGAATCAATATAATGGGCTAGAAAATGAAATAATAAAGAGCAAGATGGGATAAAGTTATGGTAAAGGAACAAGTATATGGACACCTACTTTTAAGTTGCTTTTGAAATTCAAGGATAGTGTGAAATCGGAGCGGTGAGACATGTGCTTCGCTGAAACGCTTCTCAACAGGAGTATAGTCCTCTTCGTATTTTACCCACCTAGCAACCTGTTGCCAATACACTCCGGCATCATACTGAGCCGCTGCTGCTGCAGCTGCAGCCAGAGCATCAGTTTGTTTGGGATCCTGATCGGCAGGCGAAATACTATCATGGTTAGTATGAGCTGAAGCCAAGTGTGCAGCCGTTGGGATGGATACTGTGGAATCACCAATAGAGAGGGCATGCTGTAGCAATCCAGTGCTTGGACGTCTACAAGTTCCACCAAAATTTGTGGCTGTTGCTGAACTGACAGTTCTATTAATCCCGGGAACTGGAGAACCAAAATCACCACCCAGGCCAGATGGATCTCTGTAATGTAATTCATCGAGCTCGACAAAAAGAAGCGGAAGATCGTTAACATGCGATAAGGTACAAGCAGGCAATTGTTGCCCTAGGTCTTTGCGAATTCCATCTAAAGGAGGTTCATCCGAGGGTGGAATTAGGCTTTGTTCATCCCCTACATTCAAGAATTATAAAAGTGAATAGTGAGCCAGAAATTTTAAGGAAGAATGCATAGATAACCAAAGTTCACATTACAATAATGTTCTGAGGCAAAAGTAAATAAAAATCAGCATAATTCGACATAACATAAAATCACAAGGATGATAGGGACATGCATTAGTTATTCGTTCCTAAGATTATCAATAAGAAAGTGTGATTAAGAAAGTGCATATGCAAGATGATAGTCACGAGGGTGGATGTAACTAAAATATATGAATATATTAGGTAAAATGAGTGAAAATGTACAATATAAGATATAAACAGCAAGTTATAAAGGGTTTAAAGGAGAATAATTTGCAAATACAGGAAGAAAAACAAAAATTATGGAAAACCGTAATGAGGAAAGAGGTTACAAATAAAGGGAAATGCTAAAAATAGAAACGACCATACTACGATAGGACTAGAATTTAAAGTGCTGAGTGATTGTGGCAGGATGAAGGTATTGCACAACTCAGCAAAAAGGATTATTGTGGAGATTTCCATTTCGTATGGAATTGCATGATGAAGAGATTCGTTGAATGACTCCACCAGAAAACGAGGAGTGATTATCATTGTTCTGCATCCGTTTGGCATAATACGAAACCCAGCTACACTTAGTATTTAAAATGCACTGCTTGCTGATTCAACTTCTAGTAAATTGTCTCCTTGCTAGTCTAAAACCAAGAAATCTATCGCCCGGCAAGTCGATAGAATTAGATTTCTAAAAATTTGTATTTCTCATAATATTGTTCCTATATGTTGTTTCCTCTGTAGGTGCTTTGATCTACCTAGGTTCATGTAGCGAGTGTTTTGGCTAAATTAAGGGTCAATGAGAGCACTAACCGAGTGCATAAACTAATTTGAACCAAAAAAAGGCCGGGATAATCTCTTTCTCAGGAAGTGAGTGATCTGGATTCTCTTAAGTCACATGATACGGTAAAAGGATTAAGAGAAAAAACGATCATGACTAGGCTGACACATAGTAGCAAGATCATAAATTAGGCATTACAATCAGATCTAGGGATTGTGTACTTAAGTTAAGTCGTAATAATCGTATGTAGGTAAAGTTGATAAATAAAAGATAATTAATCTATTCAGTATAATTCCGAATGATAGTGTGAAATGAATTTAAATCTTTTAAATTAAGTGAACCATCCTCTGGATTAACGGGCAGGTTGACTAAGAAGGGCATTAATAGTATTGAACTGAAAGCGATTCGACATTTGGCCACATAGTCACGGCAAAGAAATATTCTAATCAAAATAGGGGTTTCTATATGCTTTTGTCAAAATAATCGCAGTAATATTAAAACCAACATAAGTAGAGG